GACCTACAAATGAGTTCTGTTGGGCACGAATATAAGAGCATAACAGCTGATTATCCAGATTACTATTAATTAATGCCTGTGTCTTGCAACAAGGGAAATTGCCAAATAATGCAAGTTATTTTAAACATTGTATCTTTACTTAATCGAATCTTGCTAGTTACAGATCGTATGTTTACAGTAACATCCTTTACGTTAAATGATGGTTTAGCATTAGAAGGGTTTGTGACGCGTTTTATTAACCCAGACACTACTGGTTATTCATTTTAGTTACAGGGTGATATAATTGTTATGGTCTAATTAATATAAATGATAGTACCGCAATAATTAATGTTTTTTCCAAAGACATATAGGAACTTTACTTCACTTACTATTAACCATTATTTATAATGATAGACATGTTCAGACTGCAAAAAGCTATGGCTAATGACATAGAAAGGGGTTAGAGTCAGTAACACAGCCCATACAGAGGAGAGCAAACCCGCTGATGCTTAATGCCCCTGCCATGTGTCTACAAGGGATGGGGGAGGGCCACTAGCCACAGTAGTTCTACCCGTTGAGGGTCATCCCACTACTTTCCTGGTTGACACAGGTGCAGCCCGCAGTGTTCTTAGAGAACAAGACCTGCCTGACTCATCATTCCTGTCTGACACCGATGTCTCTTGTGTTGGTGTTGATGGTACTTCCCGCAGTAACCCACTCACTAAATTCCTCCATGTGGGTTCTGATATCCTTTCCCGGTTTGTTGTCTCCTCCACATGTCCCATTAACCTCTTGGGTGCTGATGTCCTATCCCGCCTCCAAGCATCCATCACCCTCACTGCAGACGGCCAGGTTCAATTAAATACACCTTTGTCACGAAAAGACACTTCAGTTCTTTGTTCCCTTCCCATTTTACTACATCTCACATCTACTATGGGGGAATCAAGGATCCCTCATGCCCCCAGTGCTCTAGACAGGATCCCTGCAAAGCTCTGGTCCACAGGCCCTGATGATATTGGACGCCTTAAATTTCCCAAGTTGTGGTCACACTTCTACCAGGAGTTGTGCCTCCCCGAAGACCACAGTATCCACTGAAACCTGCACAAGCTCTTTCTATTTCTCAGCAAGTGGAAAACCTTCTAGCCAAGGGAGCCCTTGTCAAGTGTGTATCACCATGTAACACTCCCCTTTTCCCTGTAAAGAAGAAGACTGAGAAGGGACAGCCTGATCAATACCACATGGTCAAAGATCTACGTGCAGTTAATGATGTCACGGTCAAGGATATGGCGGTCCCTAATTCACATACGCTACTGTCACAGGTCCCACCCTCTGCCACAATTTTTACTGTAGTGGACCTTGCCAATACATTTTCAGTGTGCCCCTGGACACATCCTGCCAATACCTCTTTGCTTTTCTTTGTGAAGGTCAGCAATATACATGGACTGTTATGCCTCAGAGGGCTCAGAATTCGCCCACTCGGTTTGCCGTGCCATGTCAATGGTTCAGGAACCCTGGCAAAAGACTCACACAGATGTAGTCCTGCTTCCATATGTTGATGACTTACTTCCCTGTGCTGCTGAGCTCCAAACTGCTGAACGTGCTTCTGAAGACCTACTTTGCTTCTTAGCTGAAGAAGGCTGTAAGGCCTCTAAGTCCAAGCTTCAATGGTGTCGGCCCTCAGTGGTCTTCTTGGGACATTGCCTTTCCCATGGCACCCGCCACCTTACCAAGGACAGGATTTTAGCCATTTTGAATTTACCAGTTCCTTCTGCTCATCAATCTCTCCATGCCTTCTTAGGCCTCATCACATATTGCAGATCTTGGATTCCTGAAGCTTCTCAACTGATGCAACCACTATATGATGCCCTTAAAAGTGAGCCTTTCTCACTTTCACCAAATGCCATTGCCTGTTTCACTGCTTTAAAGAAGGCTATCGCATCAGCACCAGCCTTTATAACCCCTCCTGCCTGAGCTAGTGCCCTCCTGGATAAAACTAATGATTTTGTCTTCGACCATTCATTGACCATTTTAGCACCACATGATATTTCTGCAATACTTCAACAAACCCAACCAAGGATTCTCTCCTCTCAGCATCATCTACGTTACTTACTACTCACTGAACCGGCCACTCTTCTGCCACTTCCCAAGGGGGGAGTGGCACAGTACTGGTACAGCCTGGATATCAAACCAGATGCCTGGGTGGAATTTCAACTACCTACTATTACACCTCCACATGATGTGCAACCAGAGAACTTGTTACACTGTACCCTGTGGTTCAAAGACAACCCAGGCCCTGATGTGGACTATGAAGAGACACTGTTTCAACTTGTGGAAATTCACATCACACTGACAGACTTACTATGGGACTCCAGAGGCAGCATGGTCCTGCTGGTGCTGGTCCTGCTAGTGCGCCTCCCAACAGAAGTATCTCACCTTTACCGTCACTGGGAGACAGCTATCCCACACATATCCCTCACCAAGTCCCCTGACTTCTCATGGAAAGATCTAGGCCCAATGGCCAAGTCCTGGAGTGTAACAACCCAAGAACAACTTGAATCAATGGGAGTAACTAAGAAGATTATCAACTGCAGTACAGTTGGATATCCTCGATACCAAACAGAAATTTGTGAAGATCTACCTGCCATGGAACATGACTCAGAAACTCCTCATGATAGCTTTGAACAGATGAAGATGGAAACTACCCACTTGCCAACTCTGCACGAAGCTGCTCTACCCAACCCAGACCAGACACTGTTTGTGGATGGCTCCAGATTTGCTAATGAACAGGAGCAGTATCACACTGTGTATGCAGTTACTACAGAGAGCCAGATACTACAGGCAGCCGTACTCCAGCCAATTAAGTCAGCTCAAGAAGCCGAGCTAACAGCCCTCACAGTGGCCTGCAAGCTGTCCGAAGGCCTACGTGTCAATATTTATACAGACTCGAGATATGCCCTGGGAGTGACACACGACTTTGGCCTAATTTGGAAGACTAGAGGATTTCTCACAGCCACTGGTACTCCGGTGAAACATGGGGCAGCCAATGAAGAACTGATGGATGCTTTGGTGCTTCCTGCAGAAGTGGCAGTGTTAAAAGTAAAAGCCCATGGAAGGCTAGACTCAGAGGAAGCGCGAGGTAACCACTTGGCTGATCAAGCCGCCAAGGAAGCAGCACGAAAAGGGTGGGAAGTGGACAGGAGAGTGGCCACTGACACAGTACCTATTTACACAATGCAGACATTACCTACAGATCTCAGACTTCTAAAAGAGCAACAAGCAGCTGCCACTCCCCAGGAAAAAGCAAAGTTGGAAGAACAAGGGAGCTGTTCTCCGTGATGATGTTTACACCATCAACCTTAAGTTTTGCTTACCCAAAAATATGTACCCAGCTGTTGTCCAATGGGCTCATGGGCCAGCCCATCTGTCAAAACATTCGATGAACTCCCTGATTGATAAAGCACTAGGCGTTACTACTCTGACACAGAATTATTGTAGATCTTGCACAATATGGGAAGATTGTTAAAACCGCATCTAATCACCTGGCCAAGCCCCAATACCCCTTTCAGAGGATACAGATTGACCACATCCAAATGCCAAAGAGTGGACGTTATGAATACACACTGGTCATTGTGGATATGTTCTCAGGATGGCCAGAAGCCTTCCCAGTGGCTAATCTCACTGCAAGGACCACGACCAAACACCTTCTGACGGAAATTGTCTGCCGGTACGGAGTTCCAGAAGTGATTGAAAGCGACCAAGGAACCTCCTTCACTGCCTCATTGACACGGGAAGTCTGGTCAGCACTGGGGGTGACCCTTGCCTTCCACACGCCATATCACCCACAGAGTAGTGGTAAGGCAGAACGTATGAATGGCACGTTGAAAGCCAGAATGCTTAAAATGTTCCAGGAGACCAATATGCCCTGGCCCGAGAGTCTTCCCCTAGCACTGTTCAGCGTACGATATACCCCTAGAGGGAAGTTCAGCTTATCACCCTACGAAATCTTGTTCGGTACAGCACCAAGGTTAGGTTGTTATTTCCCCCGACAGCTTCAGATTCATTCAGATGCTATGGTAAATTATATAACTGTTCTCTCTCATGCCTTGACCAAACTCCATGCCCAAGTGTTTTCTTCTATTCCAGATCCTGAGTCAAATACAGGTAAACACAAGTTGCTTCCAGGTGACTGGGTTATGGTCAAGAAATTCCTCAGGAAGCACACTCTTGAGCCAAGATTTGATGGTCCTTACCAAGTGCTGCTAATCACGGCTACCTCAGTAAAGCTGGCCGGAAAAAGTTCATAGATACACGCCTCGCATTGCAAGAAAGTGCCTGCTCCAGAAGAAGCTGTCCCTACTGAGCCATGAATTAATTGTGTTTCTTATGTTTTCTTTTGCTACTAAACTTTACAGGGGCCCAGCAGGTGGCCATAACCAAAGATAACCATGTTTACACCTTTTAGTACAATTCCTCAAACACAGATGTAGCTACATTTACCTTTGATTTTTGTGATATTGTTGTTTGCACTTTTCCACAAACACAACGCGCTGCTATACATATAAATACAAAGACATACCTGACGAAAAAGACCCATACATATGTGTGGCAGGGGGGGCATGGGGACATTCCTGTAGTTCTTGGAAAGCAGCCGCGTGGAACACAGGTAGATCATGGGGATATAGACCTCAGAATGCCTTAGACAAAATTGACAAAGATGGGAAATCACTACTCTCTAGAATGACCTTAAGTCAACCCCAATCAAACTTACCCTAAACATAGAACGCCCCAGTCCAGGAGATGCAGAAGAGTATGTAATGGGCATGTACTGGAAGGGCGGTGACTCATATAACAAGTTGGGGACATTCTACCTGCAAGACATGCTTAATTCATCTGACTGGGTAGGAACTACACATATGACTATTAACCCAATAAAACCTCACATCAAGACTTTACATGACATGGTTAAGCCTTTATGCACAATCCACCACTAACTCTTCAATGTGTGAATCATGGAAGAAGGTCTACCCGATTACCCAGGGACACGTTAGACCACCTGATGGAGTATCCATATTATCCCAGATGGCCATCATAATACATTTGATCTCACACACACTCCAGAGTCAAAAGGGAAGCCCCAATCCGTGGTAGCTTTGATCCACATGTTTATATTGATGCCATTGGTGTGCCAAGGGGGGTACCCAACGAATTTAGGGATGAGGTTGCCGCTGACTTTGAATCCCTGATTCCATTAATCACTGTCAATAAGAATGTTAATTGGATTAATTAGATCTATTACAACCAACAGCGGTTTGTTAACTATACTAGAGATGCCCTACAGGGCCTAGCAGAACAACTGCAAGCTACCACCCAAATTACATTTCAAAATAGAATGGCTCTGAATATGATTCTAGCAGAAAAGGGTAAAATCCTCCCCGAGACTATGATCTGCTGCACATTTATTCCAGATAATACTGGACCCAATGGAAAAGTAACTTTGGCCATAGAAAAACTGGACAGCCTTTCAGATGAACTAAAACGCAACTCAGGGGTCACTAACGTGTGGGATAGGTGGTTTGGATGGATGAATGGTTGGCAGAGAACGCTATTCCAGGTTGGGACAGCAGTCCTTATTGTGGGGATATTTATGGGATAATAATAGTAAACAGTTGAGAATTGCCCACTAATTCAATTCTCAGATCCCAAAGAACGTTTATCGTAAGTGAAAGTATTTCATATAATTAATATCACAATGTATAAAAATTGATTTTATTTATGATAACCAATAATTAACAAATAATATTATGTAACATGCATAACAATAATCAATGAATATCCAGTACAAAATTATATGCAATACAAAGGAATGGGTATTACGTTTCAATGGCTAAATAGCATTTCCTGTCAAGAATTCTGACGATTTATGACTAGCTTCCACAGACTGAAAGTGAAACTTTTCACACAGAGAACAGAATTCCTCAGAGTGCAGCGTAAGGTCGTAAAGTTTAGCAGACAGTTAGAATAACCCTTTCAATGCTGGCTAGATCTCCTAGGTAGTTAAGATCTATTCTTATGTAATTTTTAAATAAAATAACATTTAAACCAGTTCATTAGCCATTTCCTGAAAACAATCCAATAAGAGAATCTACATATTATATAAGCAGATTTTTAATTTGTCTAAAAGATATCTATCTTAATTTAGAGCAAATCAATACACCTGGATAAAAACAGCGGTATGCTAACACGTGATAATATCACATCAATATATAATTATTCTTAATTCCACCTGCAGAATGGAATGTTTATAACTATATATTCTTAGTTAACTAAGATTTCTTAATATGGAAATCTGACCGTGCTTTATCCAGTCATATATAATGCTATTAATACATTTTAATTAATTTAATTTAATTAAATGAAACCAGTATAATTACCAGTTGAGTAGATATTTCATCCGATTGGTAGTCTCTCTGCATGGAGGTGTTGGTTAGAAAGTCAGTAAATTCTAAGTGTTAGAGTTTTAGGAGTAGAGTATTAGTCTCAGATGTTGTCCGAGTTGGAGTCCCCAAATTTCCAATTCCTCTCTCCTCTCCTTTGCATATGTCCTGCATCTCCCTTTGTCTTAACTTTTAAAGGGCCAGACTCTCTGTACGTCATCAGTTGATAAACCAATAGAAGCACTAGAGGTGTGGTTATCTTCTAGATCGCAAATTAGGTATTTGGTCTATAGAGGGCAGTCTTGTCCCACTAAACATACCTATCCAGGAAAGAGTTAACTTTTCCTGGTGGCTATTTTGGCCTATCTAGATAGTGGCTATAACTTACATATCCTTCAAAGATCAAAGGGGTTCTTACATTTTGTCCAGACTATGTGTCTGCAAATCTGCTATAATTTCTGATATGACAGATCATGAACTAAGTTTACCCTTTTCCATACAATGGTACCTTATATGTATAGACAGTTAAATATTAAATTATTTAATCTTCTCTGTCACAATTGTCTGGGTTTAAATTTGATTATATTCCATTAGCATTAGACAGTCTGTCCAACCCCCTTCCTTATCACTTGGCTTGTATATACTATGCATTCCTCAGCTCTGGGAAAGTGGTTAGCTTACAGATAGAAATATAGTGTCTTTCTGTTAACTTGAAATAACAAAATGGAGTCTGGTCTGTTCAGAGTGACTCAGAATATACACTTTTAGTTTCTATCATAGCACAAGATGTCTGCCGATATAAATACTCTGACATAACCCCCCTTTAGTGCATTTCATAGCCAAAATTAATTTAGCTTATGAATAAGCACTATAGAAGTTACCAGACATATTGTGCAATCACATCATTTCTAACATAGGCCCGTGCGTGGAATGAACATTTTTGTATATATTTGTACCTGTAAAAGTTTTGAACTTTACACTTAGTACAATCAACCATAATATCATTATTATCATAGCACACCCAATAACAATCTTAACATGGATGAACCAGTCAACACGAGCAATAAGGTCAGTATCTAGCTCAGAGTATTTAAATGTATCCACAGAAATGTTATCTTTTCTGATTGACATTTGGATAGTGTGGTTGGGCTTGTGGTCCAGCAAGAATTTTAGATTAGGATCTAGAGGGATATCTAGATTCTGGAAGGGATCCACCATCTCAATAGCACTTTCGATGACGTCAGTGTACACTGGGTATAGCGTAACGTCACCGATGGTGATACGAGAGTCGTGGGGTACCTTGATCAGTGAGACAGGTGCTGGTAAGGCAATTACTTTATTAGTCACCTGGTCCCTGCGAAAAACACTTATGTTTTTAAGACACGTGCTTACCAACCATTTATCTTTTACTAAGATAGCATGTACTAACGCATTACTGTCGGTTTTTGACATAGTTACTTGACATGTTTCAGAGCCATGTTTAAGGTACTCGATCCCACACAAAGCATTGGTAGAATCGTACACAAAAGGTTTTCCATCACATTGGAAATTATTGTCTTTGAATTTCTCACAGTCATTCAAAATGGGTATAGAATACCAATCTGGTACCCATGGTTGAAAAGCCAAAACATCTGGGGTTTGGACTTTTACGTGGATATTTTCCTTCCATGTACCGACATTGTAGATTGTTTTCATTTGAAAAATGTTTTTGGGAGTTACATATGGTATGGCCAATAAAAAGCAAATCTCCATACGTTCCGGATCAATTAAGAGAGGTATAGCGCTCCCCATCTCAAAGGCCAGATTTAATTGCATAGGCTCAATTGTCTCTCCATCCACATTGGCAAGCATCGCATGAACAATATCCTTGGATACAAAATACAGAGGTATGCGTCCCCCTGCCAATTCGATCATTCCAGTTTGCACTTCGTCAAGAAAAGCAAGTGTGTGGAACAATATTGGGTCATGCAGAAATAAAAGTTCACGCTTAAATAAGTCATGACTTTGGTGCAACTCAGTGGATTTGGCAATTAACTCTGAATGCAAATTTGTTGTAACAACTGTGTCTTCCACAATAGTTAACACGTCTTGGAGAAGTGTTCTTTGCTGTTGTATCACCTGATGAATATCGTTAATGTGTTGCTTTAGCGCATAGATTTCCATATCCAGCTTTTGGACAGTAATTGAGTTGGCTGCAGACATTCCAGTTGCGACAACTGCACCGACAGTGGCACAAACTAATGCAACAATTATAGCGGTGAGGAACCTTTTGGGTCGGTTGCTCATCGGAATAGAACTGGATACAAATGGTTTCCGAGCTTGCTCCAAGATGTTTCGCACACGGTCCTGTGCTCTTTCGAGGTGCATCTGGTACCAAGTCTGTAACTCAGGAAGCTGCATCGATGAAATGTTGTATGCCTTCTCGATGGAAATCTTGGGGTCCAAGCTGACGAACACACGTCTGGTCAGGATCCTCTTCTCTGTTAAGATGAACCCTGGTGTCTCTTGAATCAGGATGTCGGAGGATGGTCCCATCTCTGCGATCGGGTCGGTCCGTAGCTCTTGGCACAGGAGCAGTACGATCCAGAAACACGCCACATCCTTCTTGGACATCTTTCGACAGTCACGGATCAGGAACTCGTTTCAGACTTATCTACTAATGATTCAAGGTTTGTTAAGCATACAAACTTATAACAGTGTGACATCATTTGGCCTAGGACAACACATTATTACGATTCATCACATATGTATTCTGTCTAATTCTATTTTTATAACTTCATCCCTCACTACATTTATTACTGACTCTTCAGTAAGTCGTCTATAGCAGCTAAAAAGCTAGTAACCTGCTTATAAAATGTAGTTATTGGATGGCAAGGAAATGGTTAATGACATGAACGTACATGAGATCATGGCACATCACAACATTTCACATCATACTATACCACGTGAATCAAGCATTCATCCAGATTAGTCGTTCACCCTTCTGCGTCTGAATCCACACCTATAATCCTTAATTGAGATTTAGGATGACAAGCACGCAACTGGTTAATGTGAACCCACTTTTCAATAAAATCACCATCCTTAGGAATTTTTATCTTGTACGCTACTGGGGAAATTTTGTCAATAATGACATATGGCCCTTTCCAAGAAGGTAAAAATTTCTTTTCCTTAACTTGATTTCGCGCAAAGTTATACAGATAGACTTGATCTGTGATCTCATATTCCTTTTTCGTGGTTTTTAGATCGTAATAGGTCTTAACCCCTGTCGCTGCTTTTTCTAGATTCTTTTGGGCAAAAGCAAACGCATGCTGTAAATGCTTGCGCAAATCTTCGATATACTGATGCGTAGTGGCAGCATTGATCAAGTTATGATCCGAAGTACGATATAGTAAATGCTGTGGTAAAACCAACTTTCTTCCTGTCATCAATTCAAAAGGTGACAATTTGGTAGCAGTGCTAGGTGTAGCTCTAATCGCCATTAAAACTAGGGGCAATTTAATGTCCCAGTCTTTACCAGACTCCTTAACATACTTCTTCAGAATATTAACGATAGACTGGTTATATCGCTCTACCCCCCCGCTAGACGCAGCGCGGTATGCAATATGTAGCTTTCGTTTAACACCTAGAATGTTCCACATCTTAGCCATTACTTCGCTGGTAAAATGACTACCTCTGTCTGACTCAATTCTTTGAGGCAGACCGAACCTGGAAAAGACATGGTTAATCAACAAAGTGGCGCACACGGTACTCGTGTTCTCTTTACAAGGCAAACATTCTATCCACTTTGTGTACATACATGTAACAGTTAACATGTATTTGTTACCTCTTGAAGATCTTGTTACAGGACCTATAAAGTCAATTTGAATATCAGACCAGGGTAATGACACCCCCCTCTTCTGAAGTGGTGCACGATGGGTTGGACCATGGGGTTGATATTGCGGACAAATCAAGCATCCCTGACAGTATGTCTTAACATCCCTTAACATGTGTGGCCAATATGCATAATCACGCAATATCTCATATGTGATCTTATCACCACGATGCCCAGATGTAGGTGCATCATGTGCGTGTTGGAGCATTAACCCTCTGTATACAGTTGGGACTACCCATTGTTGTATACCATGTTTAGAAGTTCTGACCAGTAACCCATCCATGATACTAAATTGGACTTTATATCTCATCAAGATTCGTACATCTGTGATGGGATTGGCAGTAGGGTCTTCTATATGTTTATAGAATATGCCTATGACGGGATCATTCTTTTGACTAGTAATCAGGTCATCACTAGGAGCTTCTTGACTCCATTGCACGACATTTAAGTCGGCATTATCTCTAGCCTGACGTCTAGTTATGGCTTCAACATGAATTGAACCCATAAGATCATCAATGTTTAGGGTTTCACCATTGATGGCAGCTTGTTTTGCCAGTGAATCGGCTAAGTCATTACCATCCTTGTCAATACCTTCTATTTTAGAATGGCCTTTGGTTTTCTTCCAATATATGGTTAAACCATTTTCCTTAACCAACTCATCAATTTTACAAAACAATTTCCCATGTTTAACAGGTTTGTTATTGCTTTTCAGCATTTGGTTTCGTTTCCAGCTAGGCAGATATTCGACGAAACTGTTGCGAACATAGTTGGAATCAGTTATAATAACAAATTCTTTGATACTATATTCTATTGCCATTTGAATGGTCTTATATACTGCACAGAGTTCGGCTATCTGACTGCTTTTGGGACCAATATTGTATCCTATAGATACATTGGGATAATCACCTGTCCAGGCGATTCCGATACCTGCAACTAACTTCCGTTCTGCACCAATGACGTGGTGATATGAACAGCCATCAATGTATACCCACGGTAGTGGTCGACAGTATTCCTCGTCATAAACTTTATAAGGAGATAGCAATTGCTCTTCTAGGAAATCATCTCCGGTGTCATTATCATCCAGAGATGGAGCAGTACAGTCATGTAATTCTGCTAAACCTTGGGCAACTGGGCTTCTCTTATTATGTTTATAACGGACTTCTAACGGCCATCCCTGTAAGGATAGAGTCCATGCAGTAATCCGACTGTTAGAGAGATTACCGTCTCTAATTCTTTCACTCTGCAGATACTGTAGAGGTTGGTGAGCTGTTTCTACAATTATTTTCTCACCTTGGATATAGCTACGAAAATTTTGTAGTGCCCAGACAGTCGACAATAACGCCTTCTCACACGTGTTGAATTTAACTTCAACAGGTGACAAAGTCTTGCTAGCATATGCAATAACCTTGTTTAAACTGTCCTGCTTCTGATACAGAACAGCACTTATGCTTAAATCTGTATATCCTGTCTCCAGATAGAAGGGTTTACCCCCCCTCTGGGTATGCTAAACAGGGTGCCTGAGTGAGCTTCCTCCTCAGTTCACTTACCGCTTGGTCCTGAGGCTCCCCCCAGTTCCAGGTAGTTTCCTTTTTAAGCAGGTGTAAGAGTGGTTTAGTTATTTCTGCATAGTTATCTATAAACTTACGGGAGTAGTTAGTCATACCAAGGAACGATCTTAATTCCCTGATGTTTGAAGGTGTTTTAGCCTTAATTACAGCTTCAACCTTCTTCCTCTGGGGATTTAATCCTTCAGAAGTTACCTCATGTCCGAGGAAATTGACATGGGTGCGACACCATTGCGCCTTTTGTAAAGACAGTTTAATCCCTACTTCTCTTAACTGAGTGAGAACATGTCTAATCTCTAAGATATGCTTATCAAAGGAAGTGCTTTTCAGCAAGACATCGTCGACATATGATAACGTTCCTCTCTCAAGTGCGTCAGGCATAGCTTTATGCATGAACACAGCGAATTCATGACCAGAGTTTATATAACCGAAAGGCATACGGGTCCAGGTATACTGCTGCTTTCCAAATGTGAAGGCCAATTTGTATTGGTCTTCATTATGGACTGGTACAGTCCAATATCCCTGCGCACAGTCAATGGCAGTGAATATTTTGGATCCCTGCATTTGTACCAAACATTGATCTATGTATGGCGTTGGCCAACCAGACATATAGACGCGTTTATTTAGCTGTCGTAAGTCAGCGCATAAACGCCATTGTCCATTAGGTTTCAGAATCCCCAAGATCGGATTATTATACGAACTGTGCACTGGACATATAATGCCCCTTTCCTTTAAATTCTGAATGATGTCTTGTAGACCATCATATGACGCTAATGGGAGTCTATATTGTTTGATAAATACAGGTGGTAAATTAGGATCAGTTTGTATTCTGGCTACGTGGAGGTTTGTTAACCCACAGTCGTAGGAATCTTTGGCAAAAATATCTTGGAATTCCAAAAGGATTTCCTTTAGCTGTTGCCGCTCAGCATCGTTGGAGCAACCGTCAGCTAAAGATATTTGCTCTTCTAGCCTTTCCTGAAATCCTGGAAAGATTTCAGGCTGGCCTATCTCATAAGCTTCTTCAAGCCTAGAAGTTAGGTCAGTTCGGTGTTGACTTACCTTTTCTCTTTGGTCGTGATACTCTTGTGATTCCTGCTCATTGAGCGGATGATCGAAGGTGATAGATGCTTCTTCGATTTTACACGAGCCTTCTTCGACGTTGAAGGGATATACAGATAGGATAGTGAATAATCCTTCTGGGGAGGAATGGAATATTTGATCGACAATTTCGTCCTCAGTTAAGTATTCTTCAGGGATGAGGCCTATAATTTGGTTTTGGAAACCAAATGTATAGTACTCAGCATCCAATGCTAGACCTAATAATGTTCCTTTTGGTAAAGTAACACTATTGGGTGTAACATTGTTGACCATGATATAGGTGGGATTCTTACCAATACTTACCATTGGTGTATGTGTTACCACCATCCCTAATTGTTGTATCCTATTGGATAAACAGATTAGGGCATCAGAGTTTTCTAATCTCTGACCCTCCTTGACCTGTAGGGGTAAAAGAAAGTTACTTGTCCCTTGGGGAATGGTTATGTCATCAGGAACTTGGATACTTACCGCATATGGGAGTATTTGTCCTGATTTCAGGGCGTTTTCCTAGTGTAGGTATCCACAAGGATTACCTTTTAACCTTGTCCACAAGTTGGAATTAATCAGATCAAGGTGTATGGCAAAGCGATGTATGACATCATTGCCAACGTAAACCTGATAGCGAGGTTCGTTTATCACTAGGAATAGATGTTTAACTGTCTTATTTCCGACGGAAATAGATAGTAAACATTTTGCTATCACATTGTAACTTTCTGATTCGCCATCCAGGTTCTGGATCCACCTGTCATGTGGGGAAGCGTACCTGATCATTTTAGGATTAGCAATCTGCCTTAACAGACTTCTGCTAATATAGCTGTTCTCACTCTGTAAGTCCAGCTTTGCATTCCTACTTCTTCCTAAGTCATGTATTTGAATAGGAAAGAATAAGTTGTTATTAACCCTTTCAATTCTGGCAAGGAATTGAGCATGACCTGCCAGATCTACAGATTCTACATAGTCCCTGTGGAGAGAAATAGTTAAAACATCACCTTCCAGAGAGACATTCTGGATCCTTTCTGGAGCAATTCTTACGGAATGCTCATCTACAGGTGCGATTGCATCATTCACCTGCAGGATAG